GGCCCCGGCTCGGCGGCGCCGGCCCCCAGGGTCAGGACTCCGTTCTCGATCCGCACCAGCAGGCTCTGGTTGTTGATGGTGATGGTGCCGGAGAAGGCGCCGGGGCCCGAGCCGGCCTGGCCCGCGCCCTCCGCCGCCTCCGCTCCCCGCCGGGGCGGCGCAGAAGACGCGCCCGGACCCGGCGGCGGGGGCAGCAGCGGCGGCGGCGGGACCGGCCCGGGAGCCTCCTCCTGCTCCCCGCGGGGAGGCTCGGGGCGGCCGCTCTCCCCGCCGCCCGGCCCGGCCCCGGCTCCGCCGCGCCCCGCACCAGGTTGAAGACGAGCAGGAGGCCGTCGCTGTCGGGGCCGGGCGCCGGCGGGGGACCGGGGACGGCGCTGGGGCCCGGCTCCTGCTTCTCCTCCAGCAGCATCACCGGGAAGCTCATGTACAGGCCCGAGGCGGCGGCGGCCGGGTCCCACTCGGGCGGCGGCGGCTCCGGCTCCCGCTGGGGTAGGCGGCCGGCGGGCGCGGCGCTCGGTGCCGCGGCACCGCCGCCATGTTGGGTGTCGGGCCGGGCCTGGGCCGCCTCCACCGCGGGCAGCCCCTGCGTTTCCATCTTGGGGGTCCCTGTAGCAGCGGCTGAAACCGGAGCCGCGGGGCGGGGCCGGGCCAGGCCGGGCGGGAGGCGGGGGAAACCCGGAACAGATAATCCAGAGCGGAGCCGGGCGGGGCGCGGGGGAAAACCCGGCTCCTGGATCACGCTGGTGTTACGGAAGGGAGGATGGGCTCTCTGGAGCGGAGCCCGGCCCGGGCCGGGGGAGAACCAAAGCAGGCATGGAGCGCAGGGTCCGTAGCAAAACCCCACGGTTGGCGGCTTCCACTCCCGCCTCGTCAGCAATCCCAAATCCTGAGCTTGGTTTACAGCTCGTGGGGATCGAGAAATAACTTGCCTGGGTTGGTCTGTGAGATTTAAACTCTGCTTGGCATGTTTCAGAGTAACAGCCGTGTTAGTCTGTATCCGCAAATCTATATGCATCCGAAGAAGTGGGCTGTAGTCCACGAAAGCTTATGCTCTAATAAATTTGTTAGTCTCTAAGGTGCCACAAGTACTCCTGTTCTTCTTTCTGCTTGGCATGTGCCTGCCCCCCACGTAATCCCCTGCCTGCTGGTCCTGGCAGGAGCACTGCTACCTGTTCTCCCCTAACCTGGGGGCTGGGGAGCTGCCCTGCCATTCTAGCCTCACCCTTCTCACTGCCTTGGCCCCTTCCCAGTGCCAAACTCTCACATTCTCCCTCATTACTCCCCGAGGTTCCTGTCCCCCACCTACTCTCTGCACTCCCTGCCTCCAGGGCCGTCCTTGGGATTTATGGTGCCCTAGGCGGGATTATTAAACTGGTGCCCCTGTGCCTGACTTGCTCTT